GTAACGCTGCCGGTATCTTCGGATCCTTGCCTAAAGGGACTCCTTTTAATAATATATTTTATTTTTTAAGGTTTGTAGTTTTAGTTTTATTGTTCTAGTGTGTATATATATATATATATACATATACATCAGGTGGTTAGCGCGTTCGGCTGCGATCGTTGTAGTTAAGCAACTTTCGCAGTGGTCGGTCATTGCATGGGTGACCAAAAATTTCTATCTCGAGTTCCTCCGTGCTTCGGAAGGCACGTTAAGCCGTTGGTCCCGGTTGCACCTGCAGTCGTTAGCACCCGCCAATCCGCACTGGGCCCGCGTGGTGGGTCATGGCCCAATCTCCGTATTCCATCCATAGAGAAGGCCTGTGCCCCAGCAGTGGGGACATTAAGAGGCTGATGATGATGATATAAAGAGTAATTACGTAATTAGATTGTTATCTTAGAATATTTTCATTATAATCTTATCGTTTACATCATAATAAAGGAAATGCTGATAGTATTATATCTTTCGAATCAATAGATTACGTTTTTTTAAAGTTTTTTCTAAAAATATGACATATTTAACCGACGTTTAAAAGGAGCCGGTTCTTACTTCGGCGGTATGCTGTTATGTAATTCTTTACGTGTCCTATGATAATATTAACTTAGAACTACAATAATTTGTGATTCCGAAATAACAATGTTTCAATATAAGTATGTACATAATAACTTTTCCGTTTTTAATTTTCAATTTCACTTCTACTGTAGGCTTGTTGAAAATATATCGATGTATCGATATATCGATATTTTTTGTTCGATATATCGATATTTTTTGCCGATATATTTTGATTCGATATATCGATACATCGATACAAAATAACCAATATCGAAATTCGTATCAAAAACTATATTTTTTTAATTATTAGCGGCATATCACGATCTAACTAAATTCGTATCTGGAAAAATCGTAACTGGATCTCAGATTAATGAAATTCAACATATCTATGATCTGTGCTGTATTTAGTATTGTCTATGTCATCATTCGAAAATAGGGTCTATTTTTAGGGGGATAATTTTCGTTCCATTATATTCCGCGTGTCATATTTCATGAGCTACTGTACGATATTTTTGGGAAAATTGGTCCGATATATCGATATATCGATGTTTTTTTCGCGATATATCGAAGCCGATATTGATATTTTTTAAAAGATCGACATTTTTTCAACTTTCGACATCTCTATTCTACTGACTGACCTAGTCTAGTCATTTATGTTTAAGTCTGTAAATATACATAAACATGTTTTATAAAACCTCAAAATTATAAATTCATTTGACATTGTGGTTTACCTACAATTTCTAGAAATGACGCTGTTTTGCAGCCTAAGAAATACTAAAAGGAATTCAACTTGGTAGCATAGCGGTCAGTGCCTCTGCCCGAACAGCGGGAAACGCAGGTTCGAATGATGCCTGATACCTTGACCGTGTGGATTTTAATGATAATTTGTTATTTTAAATTTAAACAAATGAGATACACTATGAATATTATATTTAGCATACCTGGGGGTCAATCGCCTATTAGAATTGCTATGGCTTTCGCTATATACTACGATTTTATTTTGTTATTTCTGACCGCCGCGCCGAAGGTTTTCAAAACCTTAAGCTCATTTTCTTTGATATTGTTGTTACCAATGCAAAAGAAAAAAAAAACGCGGGGCATTTGAAACCCTTCGGCGGTCAGAAATAACAAAATGAATACGTAAGCGTTAGCGGTAGCCATAGCAAACTCGTTAGGCGTTTGGCCCCCCGGTTACCTTGAAAAATTACTCCATTTCCAACCAAACTGTTCCAACTGCAAAAGTCCTTTTGGAATTCCAATTAAGTATAAAAATGAATGGTTCATTGATTTGTCATTTTGTGGCGCGAAAATTACGCTTGCACCGGATTGGCGGGAGTGTGATTTTCTACAGTGCGATTGGTCGATAGCCAGATGGTGCGTTGTCGCGTGACCTCGCCAGCGGAATGGCGCGATATTGCAGTTAGGATTCTATCTAAGTATATATACAGCCAGTGTAATGTTCTAGAAAGTAAATGGCTTTAATAACAAAACTGATACGTGATGAAATCAAATTACTGATAACGCAAACAATAAATCTCGGTAGCATGATAACAAATGTTAAAGATATTGACAAGCTTCGCACGCAATTAAATTTCGTAAACTTTTCTTGCTGGCACTTCACATGGTTATTCGTGTTTGCTATTTGTAAACATGACATCAGTCTATCCTTATCATGAAGGAATTAAGAATAAAAAGGAATTAATTATAAGGAATGAAGAGGTCAGGCTGATGTCAAGTTTACAAATAGCAACACGAATAGCCAAGTGTAGTGCATGTATCCCGAAGGAGTTTGTCATTAGATTTAATAATCTAGGATGTATTATAGGAATGAGAAGGATCTACTAATGTAGATCCTTCTCAAACGGCAGATTTTATTGGGCGATACTTAGTATATCGATAATTTCTTTCGACGGTATTATTTGCCGAAGTGACGCCAACTCGTTATTTGCGCACTTGCATACATTTTTGCACTATTCAAGAGTCGGATCACATTTCCGAATGGTATCAACAACTTGGTTGGGTTCAATGCTAAAAATAGCCTGAGGGCCTTAAACGCTTTGTCAAACAGAACGCGTACTTAGCGCGCGTCAGACAAGGGCGGATCAAAAGCCAATAGCCAAAGCAAGCACGGGGGCCAATCGCCTAACTGGATTGCTTTGGAAAACGCTATCGCTTACGATTTCATTTTGTTATTTCTAGCCCCCTGAGGTTTTCAAATGCCTCGCGCTCTTTTTTTTTCTTTTGCATTGGTAATAACAATGTTAAAGAAAATGAGCGTGAGGTATTTCGGCGGTTAGAAATAACAAAATGAAATCGTAAGCGATAGCGTTTTCCAAAGCAATCTGGTTAGGCGATTGGCCCACTGGTGGGCGATTGGCCATCTCGGCCTGCGCTTGCACGGCAAAAACGTTGCTTTCATTTTCTTCCTTCTCTTCAGGGCACAACACTGGCGTTATAGAGCAATATCCGCATGCTCGGTATTCGGTATGGAAATTCGCTGTGATTAAAATAGTACAAATAGTGTGCTCAAACCACACATCTGAAGTGAATTTTCTTTTCTTTAATAACCTAACATTATGCGGTGCAAGTATAAGGCAAACGGGAAAGGAGCAGCGCACGCATGACTCATATAATATGCATATACAGGGTGTAAAAAAACCTATGACAAAGACTTAAACTACGCATTCTGTACACCCAAACAAGTCATATTACAAAATATAATAGGTAGGAAAAAAAAATATTTTTAAGTTAAAAGAATACACTTTTTTGTGTATTCGTGTCGTTTGCGTGTGTGTAAGTGCGTCGATAAAAAAGTTTCTAAATAACGTTTTGAAAAGTATTAATGTGTATAAGTCTTTAAATGAATATTTTGGCAGTGACCTTCAATATCTCCATATTCATAAATTTCCCAGGTATGGTCCAGAAGAAAAAAATGATCGTCATAATGTGGAAAATACGTGGCCTTCGACTTCGTTATAGGTTTTTTTACACCCTGTATATTGTCGCATGTGAGTTGTGACGCTCGTAGCGTTTTAGTCTTCGGCGAGTTACCCTCCAACTTTTAAGCTCTTTGGGAAGGGCTGCGCACCTATCAATCACACACACACACACACACAATCGTGTGACGCTCGTGACGCATTTCCGTTTCATTTAGAATATTTCCATTTACAGCCCGTTTGAAAATAAGTTTCACATTTTATTGCGAAATAGCTGGAAAAAACAACTTTTTGCATGCGGTTGCTAGCAACCAAAAATATCGTTTTAAATAATATAAGTAAATAAACACGTACATAAATACTATGATTTTTATTGAATACAGGTGCGTGATTGGACATTTTTTTCAAAATTTTAAAGACATTTCAGACAGGATTTTGAATTTTTTTGGTCTGGTAACCCTAGGTGCAAGGTTATTGGAGGGCTTGGGGTCCCCTACTATACTATAGTAATAATCACATATCAATATTTAGAATAGATTAAAATTGTGATAAAGTCAAACATGTAATAAATTGACAAATTAAATAGAAACTGTTCATAAGTCACTTAATAATAATTAAATAAAAATAATAATAAATTAAACATTAAATTAAAATGAAATCAAATAGAGCTTAAAAAGATATTAAATAATGTTAGTAACTATAATCAATAATTCAAAGTCACATTAAATTTCGTTGTGTTGTCATTTAAAAATTCATTTATGGAATAATAACATTTGTCAATCAACATTATACGCAGTCTTCTTTTAAAAATAGTCAAATTTAATTGTTTCAAAGAATCTGGAATTTTATTGTAAATACGAGGCGCCAGATACAGTACGCTTTTTTGGAATAGTGAAATAAACACAACTCCACCAAAAGATAGTGTTGTTCCACTGTGATTTTTATAGTTCTAATGTATACTTTCACACCCAGCTTGCTCCTCCTCCTTGTGTCGTGCTCCTCATTGCTGAGGGTCGTGACCTTCACGAATTATTTTGTGGACGATCGCTTTCCACTTATTCCGGTCTTCCGCAGTGTGGAGTGCATCGCGGACTCTAGTTTTGATATTGTCGCGGATCTGGTCTGTCCAGCACATGGCGCTTCTTCCTCTCGGTCGCCTTCCCCGTAACTTTTCCTGTCACCAGGAGCACTTCCAGGGAATTTTATTGTAAATACGAGGCGTCAGATGCAGTACGCTTTTTTGGAAGAGGGAAATTAACACAACTTCATCAAAAGATAGTGTTGGTCCACTGTGATCTTTATTGTTCTAGTTTATACTTTCACACCCAGCGTAGTATGAGCCAAATTGGTCACATAAGTTTTCAAGTGTGTGTGTTTTTAAATTTCCTTTTTTCTTTCTTTTGCAGATACGTCCATATAGCCCTATGACGCGCACAGAAACATCATCTTAACCGAATACAAAGGAAAAATTGCAATATGTCGTCCAAAGCAATTTACGAAGCCACAGGCAAAGATCTCATCAACAGGTACGTGTAATCGTGTATCTATCTATATATATAAAACTCAAAGGTGACTGACTGACATAGTGATCTATCAACGCACAGCCCAAACCACTGGACGGATCGGGCTGAAATTTGACATGCAGGTAGATGTTCTGACGTAGGCATCCGCTAAGAAAGGATTTTGATCATTTCTACCCCCAAGGGGATAAAATAGGGAATAAAAGTTTGTATGAAACTTTGTCATTGTAAACCGATCGGGCTGAATTTTTTCATGCAGGTATAAGAAAACTCATAGATAAATGTCATTGTGTATAATACAAGCCTGAGAACAAAAACTGTAGACTACATAAAACTAGTTTTTACGGGTTAATGCACGAAACTTTATTTATTTATTGACGTTTCGCAGCCTTTTCAGGTCTGCATCGTCAGAATAATGATTTTTTATTTAAAATTGTCGAGCTACCTTCGAAAGACTTATATTGAGCGTTCGGTTATTTCATTGGAAGATTTTTAAAATTTTATTGTCTATGTATGAATTTATTATTTAATTTACTTAATAAAGTATTTTATTTAAAATTCTAATTTGTAATTTTGAGTTTATTCATTTATTTGACCCTAACTACCGTAAACTACCACCGGTTCCAAAATTGGGAGACCTTCCTGAGAAGAACCGGCGAAACAAACTCAAGAGAGGCTTTCTATCTCCTTCTTATGTTAAATTATGCAAACAAAAAGAACTAATAGTATCTGATGGTCTTGCAGTGTGTGCTCGGGGTTGGGATTTTATCTCCTGTAAAATAGGTTCCCAAGCTGGTGGTATATACCAACCATCTTCCCTATTGAAATTTGGATATTTTTTTATCTCAATAGCCTCGCGCATCATTCGAGGAACGAACCGCCGCTCAGCTGCAAGGATCTGTGGTCTATCAAATCTAATGTAGTGGTTTGGTCCCCCTAATGCATGTTAAAAAGAGATGAGATAAAATCCCAACCCCGAGCACACACTGCAAGACCATCAGATACTATTAGTTCTTTTTGTTTGCATAATTTAACATAAGAAGGAGATAGAAAGCCTCTCTTGAGTTTGTTTCGCCGGTTCTTCTCAGGAAGGTCTCCCAATTTTGGAACCGGTGGTAGTTTACGGTAGTTAGGGTCAAATAAATAAATAAACTCAAAATTACAAACAAGAATTTTAAATAAAATACTTTATTAAGTAAATTAAATAATAAATTCATACATAGACAATAAAATTTTAAAAATCTTCCAATGAAATAACCGAACGCTCAATATAAGTCTTTCGAAGGTAGCTCGACAATTTTAAATAAAAAATCATTATTCTGACGATGCAGACCTGAAAAGGCTGCGAAACGTCAATAAATAAATAAAGTTTCGTGTATTAACCCGTAAAAACTAGTTTTATTTAATGAGTGATGTGCGTGAAAACCTAAGAAACAAATACTGTAGTCTACACTTCAGCTCTATACCGAAGCGAAGCAAAGGGCGGGCCGCTAGTCTTAATATTTATAAATTACGCGTCACGTGCGTCCGGGATGGACTCCTAAACAACTTAACCGATTTTAATCAAATTTGCACACCGCGTGCAGTTTGATCCAACTTGAAAGATAGGATAGCTTACATCTCAATTTATAGTCGCAATATTATTTTATTGCAAATGATTACTTTTGGGTGGTACGAAGTTCGCCGTGTCAGCTAGAACTAATATTATAAATCTGTTTGTTTGTTTGGTTGAAAGGGCTAATCTAAGGAACTACTTACTGGTTTCGAAAAGTTATTTTTTTGTTGCATAGTTCATTTATCGAGGAAGGCCATAGAGTATATAACATCCTTCTACGTTCAGAAGGAGCGGAGCATCGATGATAAATGCGACTGCGACGCCCTTACAAAAACACATATAATAAAAAATAAATCTAATTATAAATATTTTATCCGAGAACAAGTCAGACACCGTAATTGGTGTCTAATGTTACGTTTTACAGTATACACAGTAATACATTACTATATAAATAAATAATTTATTTTTAACACACTTGCTGTTGCACGTTAAACTAATTATTTAACGAAGGCCGTGCCAGTCTCCAAGCACAAAGGTAATAATAAGTGTAAGTTTTAACTTTGAAGCAATCCATCCAACTATATTAAAAAAACGTTGAATATGTCATAACAGTATTTTTAATTAGGAGGCTTATAATCTTTACGCTTTCCCATTCAAAGCTAACTGTTGACGCATGAGTAAGAAGTTTTGCCTACACCAGAACGTCGCTCCATTTCTACCAGTAGAAGCAGCTTTGACCCACGTGTTCAGAAAACTCCCCTCTACACTTCACTCTCTACGAAATTCAAATTTTGTACGCTCAACTTTCTTTCGCAATTTTCATTTTATTTATTTTATTTTGTAATTATATTCGCAATATACGCATTATTCAAGTAAACAACTGAGCTTTATTGAAGAGTACGCATAACGCCGATACACTAACGAATAATGATAGTGTGACATATCTGGTCAAATGCAACTGTTAAATGAATAACGAAACTTGGGAAATATTAAATATACTCTTCTCGGTCCTCAAACCAAAGTTTCCGGGTTTTATAGGAACACTGAATACTCTTAACTTTCCTACGCCCTCTATAAACTAGCACAAACCCAGGAAAATCTGGACCATAGGTTAGCCTAACTGTGGCGTTTAAAAAAAGTAAACATAGGTGACGATTCTGGCGTTTTTATTCTCTAAACTTAAAACTAAATTTAACATCAGTCTCTCCTTTGCATTTTGTATAGAGAATGACAAGGATACACTGTTGTCAAACTTAAGTTTAGATTAAGTGAATCGTGCCAGAATCGACACCATAGTCTGCCTTATTCCAAAACGCGGACTCAAGTAAGTCTTGGCTTCAAACTAATGTTGGGTCTGTCTTCTTTTAGCAAAAATAAGTGACAGCGTCAGTTTAAAGACTCGATGACACGGGGCGAGTTTACAAGCTACAAAGTCAGCTAGTTTGTACTCGCCCCGTGTCATTGGCATTTTTACCATCTTGCTACCCGATGATACGGGCCAAGTATACAAGCTACTAGCCAACTCGCTGGCTTGTAGCTTGTAAACTCGATCGAGTAGTAAGTCCAGTAGTTTAGTCCCCTTAGTACGAGTTTTACAATTACGAAAACTATGATAGTTTTCGTGAGCTCGCCCTGTTACTAAGGGTACGGATTTTATTGTTTTCGTTTTAATACAAATAAACAGTGTTTAAATTCTATCATTAAATCATTTGCGTCTTATTAAATATTAAGTATATTTATGTATATTTGGTTACTTTTCACCAAAATGGACATAGAAACTTGATTTACAATTACGAAAACTATGATAGTTTTCGTGAGCTCAAACTCGTACTAAGGATACAGGTTTAACTTGAGTCAACGTTTTATAAGAAGACGGACAATGTTTTATTTCAGTCGGAGAATGGACGAAGCGATACTCGGTGACGATAAAAAAATATCAATGTTTTGTTTCCAGGCACATAGCGTCAGGCACCGCCTTGGCACCGTGCCGTTTCGCCACCTTCGAACAAGGCACCGTGTGGGAGGACGAACTCGGCAAGAACCCATGGCTTTCCAAAGAGGTAAGCCCCATCATCAGATTAGATTAGATTTTTTTATTGCAAAAAATATAGTTCAACGAGGTGACATGTATGCAAAAGAGGTTCTACATATTTTACCATAAATGTCATGCAATTTATACAAAAGACTAATAGTAAAATAAAAAAAATGGAAAATCCAAAAGTGCATGCCTCACATCACGTAACAGAAACCCAGTAAATAAATTCCGTTGAGTTTCATTAATATCTTTAAAACGGTTATCAGTTCAATCATGATAAGAAATAGGGTTCATCCTCAGTATAAGTGGAAATTAATTCAATAGGATTTATTACAATTAATTGCGTATATTTTTCTAAAACGTGCAGACAAACAAGTGCACAGACCAACGGACAGCAGTACTAATAATTTTTAACTACATTTTTTGTTACATATACTAAAAAAAAAAAATGATAAAATACGCTGACTTTATAATTTAATATGTCTAGTTTTCAAAACACCCCTTTTTATTGATTTAGTGTCTAACATGGGAGATAAGAGCGATTTTATATTGTTAAATCGTCACAAAGCGGCCCATCGAGAGTAAAGCACTCCCACACGCTTACGCGTTGTGAGGCGTGCAAATAAGGGTCTTTACTATACATTTATAAAAACCAATATATGTAATACAAATAATTCCATTAAGTAACTCAGCGACATCAGCCTTTCAATGTCCCCGCTGGGGCACAGGCATTCCCCATGGATGGAACAAGGCCATGACCCGCCAAGCGGCGAGCATAGTATAGATGTGTGGTTGCTAACGATTGCAGATGCAGCGGGGACCAACGGCCTATCATGCTTTCTGTAGCACGGAATAACTCGAGTTAATAAGTTTTTGGTCACCAGCAACATTGCAAAATTAAAAGAAACAAATTAGCTGTTTCAGTAAAGGATGTTTTTGGTAAGAAGCCACCATGACCTATAGAACAGTGTTTCCTAACCTTTCCAATACTGCTACCCCTGTAACCTATTAGGGAAACAGATTTTACCCCAACTTTAAATGTTATCATCAGTCCAAGAAATTCCAATTTGGCCGCTACATCTTCGTCTCTAATAATGTAATCATCAGGAGAGAATATCGCCCCGCTTCCCACACTCAGCACCCCGCGGGCTCACTAGCAAGAAGGAGCGCATGCTCTATTTAGTAGTATTATTTAGATTTGACTATATAATTAGGTTCTTTGTTACCCCCGAAGTATGGCTGATTTACCCCCGGAGGGGTAATTACCCCCAGGTTTGGAACCCAGGCCTTAGAAGCTTGCGATACCAAAAATATCACACCGCTGGCTACCCTGACCCGATCCCTTACCCAGTTGAACCCTGGAACCATGCCGACAGAAACACAGCACCACCACACAAAAGGTAGTGCTATTTTATAATGCGATTTAACTAAGAATAGGACCGACTGGGCGCCATATTGTGACGTCATAGCTGTCAATTCAAACCAAATAGATAGAGTGAGCAAAAAAAGTTTTTATTTAATAAAACTTATTTACTAAGATTAAGTGAGAAAAAAACATCAGTTATTTTTAATAAGATTCATTTACTAAGGTTGAGATTAAAAGCAACCGATTTTTAATAATATTTATTTATTAGAAGACTGTGTGAGCGAAAACATTAATCAGAAATTAGCTCTTTAATTCCGCTATCTCTGCATTACCGCCGGAGTAGTTATGAATAATCATGCACTATTACTAGGTCACATACGAACATGCATCCTTTATGTAAATGAAAGTTTTAAATCGAGTTTCTGAACACAACTTAAAGTAACATTTGGCTGACGATTTAGGTTATCAACTAATCATTGCCAAAGCAAACTTCCACAAACAATAAACGGTACAATTTATGCTCACTTTTAAATAATTATTACTTTACTTGATTGAAATCACTTGTTTTTGTATTTTTAAATTAAACTTTTGTACGCAGTCGATGTTTACATAGCTAGCAGCGCCATCTATGTTAAAGCCAAAGCTCAATAAATGGAAAAAAATATCAACCAATATTAATTTTCAATATTTTTTACTGTTTCTTTTTCTAATGATTTGATTTTCTTCCACCCAGCAACTGGTCGTGAAACCGGACCAGTTGATCAAGCGCCGTGGTAAACTCGGCCTAGTGGGCGTGAACAAAACTGCGTCAGAAGTGAGGAGATGGCTCGGGGAGCACATGGGCAAGGAGCAACAAGTGGGCGCAGCCAACGGGAAGCTGAGGCACTTCATTATTGAGCCTTTCGTTAAACATGAGCCAGTGAGTACACAATTTACTTGCTTCTTCTACCCTTATAAAACAAAGTTTTTTCTAGAATTTTCCAGGATCCTAGCATTTTTTCAGGATAAAATCTCTATTCTTTCTGGTAACCTTGTTCGAGACTCTGCGTGAAGATAGATAGATATTGGGCCTTTCTGGGCGATTCTGGTATGGGTCATACAGAATGAAAGGGAAAGACTGTTGTCAAGTTTAGTTTTAAATTTAAAGCATCATGCCAGAATCGACACCAATCTAAGGTGTTGATTCTGGCATGTATCGGTTAGGTATCGACTCCTATCTAAGGTGTCGATACCTTAATTAAAGATTACGGGCCTTGAAACGTTTCCCGGCTAAAAAAATGTAAGGATTAGGCGGAAATTTGGCACACATTTTAAGTATACATTAAATAAATATTAATTTTATCGTTTTTCTTTCCAGAATGAAGAGATGTACATCTGCATCCAATCCGGTCGCAGATCGGACACTATCCTGTTCCACCACCAGGGGGGAGTCGACGTCGGTGATGTGGACGCACTCGCCGTACGATTGGAGGTCAGTAACACCCTGACACGACACAAAGGATACGATAACAACTTGAATACTCTTTAGAAACTTTCATAATTTGCTTGAACAACCAATCACTTTACAGAAATATAAATATTCACAGTATACAATTTCCATAAACAATGGTATTTTGTGTACGTGATATATTTAGATTTTTTTTGAATGTCAATAGAAAATTTTAAATCAAATTCTTACATAATTATGTGGTAGAATTGTTTTCATAATCAATTATAGCGTTTCACAAATATGTGACGCCACTGTAGACTACTAATTTTTAATTTATTTAATTTATGTGCTTATTTCAGGTGCCAGTGGACACTTTCCCTACTGGAGAAGATATTGAACGTGTCTTACTAAAAAACGTCAAATCTGCTTCAGTAAAAAGGTAACGTTATTTTTTTTAATTAACGCTCAATCATTCTTCTGTCAGTATAGACATAAGGGCTATTTCTGCACGATTTTCTTAGCCGAAAACTGGATTTGTCAATCTTAGTATCCTTATCCAATTCTATGTTTTATTTTTATAAAAAATGGTTGATATACTGGCATATAACTCGCTTGATAGTAAACGGCCCCCATAGTCTGCAGAAGCTTTAGCACGATCGCGTCTTGCACGATATAACGTCGTCAATACTACATTGACAACTCTGAGACCCCTAGGTAGATTTTTTTTTTTAAGTTTTCCATGTATTTAACTACAGAATCCAGATTGTTTTCTAGTAAAATTTCCTTTACATTTATAAATTTCTTCTACATTATATATTTTTTTAAACATTTAACTGAAACACGTCTATAGTATATAGTATGTTGCCTTGCAGCATAAGAAATATTAGAGAAAATTCGGCACGCCCATCAGGGCCGCGGTAGCTTAATGTACAATGCATTCGCACGGATAGCGAAGGTTCTGGGTTTGAGTCCCGTTCGCTGCCTGATCCGCGTGGAATTTTTTCTAGTAAGATTTTTTTAGATTCCTCCACATTTATAAACAAAATATCTCCTTTACAAGATTTTGACCACTTTCATAGTTACCTTATACCACGTTTACGTAGAATACGCTCTTGCAGCATAAGAAATACTAAAGTGAATTCGGTACGGCAATCAGAGCCGCGGTAGCATAATGGGGCATTCGGCCGGATAGCGAAGGGTGCGGGTTCGAGTCCCGTCTGCTGCCTGTTAAATTTTTTCTAGTAAAAAATTCTTTAAGTTTGTCTTCATTTATAAACAAAAAATCTCCTTTACAGGATTTTGACCACTTTCATAGTGGCCTTATACCACGTTTACGTAGACCTGTACTTCACTTACATGGAGATCAACCCCATAGTAGTGACCAACGAACGCATATACCTCCTTGACTTGGCTGCTAAGCTGGATCAGACGGCTGACTTCATATGTGCTAAGGCTTGGGGTGAAGTTAGCTTCCCACCCCCTTTTGGAAGGGATGCTTACCCCGAAGAAGCCCACATAGCCGATTTAGATGCGAAAAGTGGCGCTAGTCTTAAGGTTAGTAGTGTTTTTTTTAATCTAGGGGTTTATATAGACCGCGGGTGGTTAGCGCGTCCGGCTGCGATCGTTGAAGTTAATCAACTTTCGCAGTGGTCGGTCATTGGATGGGTGACCAAACATCTTCTATCTCTAGTTCCTCCGTGCTTCGGAAGGCACGTTAAGCCGTTGGTCCCGGCTGCATCTGCAGTCGTTAGCACCCACCAATCCGCACTGGGCCCGCGTGGTGGGTCATGGCCCAATCTCCCTATTCCATCCTTAGGAAAGGCCTGCGCTCCAGCAGTGGGGATATTAATAGGCTGATGATGATAATTATATAGCTCAGTAGAGTTACTCAAAACATTGGTTACCGAATTAAGCTGTGATAAGGTTTGGAGTGAAGTTAGCTTCATCTTTGAAAAGAGATGTCTTACCTGAGTTTTTGAGAAAACTAATAAAAAAAGGGAAATACGTTATGATTTGTATAAAGTCATCATCATCATCAACAGCCTATCTTTGTCCACTGCTGGACATAGGCCTCTCCAAATGCACGCCATTTAGATCGATCTTGGGCAAATCTTCACTCCATCGCGCCTGACGATATAAAGTCATAGCTACGTGTAGATACATATTTACTAACGATTTTGGTGTGCATTTTGAAAATAGATAAAACACTACGTTACACACCCCTAAAAATTTTTTTGGACATTTTTTTTTTTTTATAATGTGGTATTAAAAAATACATACAACCCTAGCTTTTCTCTTCTACCACCTGCCCCTATTTTTATGGCGGTACGAAGTTCGCTAGGTCAGCTAGTATTTTATATATTTTCTCTTATTAGTCCAATATATCAAAATCAGAATTTTTATTTGTAAAACGTAAGTAATCTAATATTATATATCTTTATATTTTCAGCTGACCGTCCTTAACAAATCCGGTCGTATATGGACCATGGTAGCCGGAGGTGGTGCTTCAGTAGTATACACTGATACTATATGTGAATTGGGTGGTGCCGGAGAGTTGGCCAACTATGGAGAATATTCTGGAGCACCTACTGAGGGACAGACAGCTGATTATGCTAAAACTATATTCAGTTTGATGTGCAGAGAGAAACACCCGAATGGAAAGGTGAGTAAATACTATAACAATATTGATTATATTTTGTAAAAAAAGAAATGTACCAGAAACACACCAAAATAATGAATAATAACTTATTAAACATTCTTAAAAAATATTGGGTGTTATGTAAAAAAAAATATACTTACAGAAAAGTTTAAGTTAACAGTTTCATGACTTTTCTAAAATAAAAAAGGATAAACAAACCAAAAACACATCAAGGCACAGTTCACAAATTATGGAGAATATTTTGAAGAAAGAAATGATGCTACTGACGTTCTATATCGATAAACTTATCGATATTGTGAATTTTCTGTGGTATCACTACAATGGATAGTAATGAAAGTGATAGATTAATAATAATTGCTTCATAAATATTTTTAAACGATTTTAACAATCATTAGGTACATTTGTGTGCTATCCAATAAGCACTTAAAAGAGCTCTAGTTGTTAGAACACTAACTACCTTACTATATTGACAAGACAGCTTATATTAAGTTAGCTAGGCTTACCATGTGTTGGCTGAAGTTACAATTGGCAGTAATGGCTCACAGATATGATTGCTACATCATACGACATTCAAAGTGAAGTTTGCGTTAAATAAATCCAAGGAGACAATATAAAACTCTTTTGTTGCATGCATGTAGGTGTGTGTGTGAGTGTGTGTATGTGTGTGTATGTTTGTGTGTATATGTGTGTGTATGTTTTTTTTATAGATAGTTCCGACAAGTGACTCCACCCCACCTGATGTTAAGTAGAGGTGAAGTCCAGACGCGAAGATAGCTGATACAGCAGTTCTACCTGCCACAGCAGCCATCCTCACCCTGCCGGCCTGCATGTGTGTATGTGTGCGTGTCAAATTGGACTCATTGCTCTAACACTATTTTTTAATATTATATTTCAGGTTCTAATCATTGGCGGTGGCATAGCCAACTTCACAAACGTGGCTGATACGTTCCGTGGCATCATTACCGCCATTGAGACTTACAAAGACGCCTTACTTCAGTACAACGTGACTATTTTCGTGAGACGAGGCGGTCCTAACTATCAAGAGGGACTCAGGTAATTAATGTCTCTTATTCCACTCGTATTTCTTTCTCTTTCGTTACTAAAGTAATATTGAATTATTGATTCGCTAGGCGCCGACGGCCGGTTCGAAGCGTCTATGGCAACCGGGGCGTTTTTGAATTTAATGTTATTGGCGCGACCGATTTGGTTTAATTAAGTGTTTCATTAAAGAAAGACACCAAACAAGATAAATTCAAGAAATTTGGTTGATTTCTTGAATTTACCTCCAAACCAACAGACAAGGTAAATTCAAGAAATTTGGTTTATTTCTTGAATATACCTCCAAATCACCAAACAAGGTAAAATCAAGAAATTTGGTTGATTTCTTGAATATATCTCCAAACCACTAAACGAGGTAAATTCAAGAAATTTGGTTGATTTCTTGAATATACCTCCAAACCACCAGACAAGGTAAATTCAAGAAATTTGGTTGTTTTCATGAATTTACCTTGTTTGGTGGCTTCCTTTAATGAAACACTTAATTTCGTTAAGTTTAAACTGATTCAATGAATTTTGCGAACACTAGCACACTATTCCGTTTCGCCATATTTTCTTGAAGTCTTTTTGGTAATTACAATAACCAATCAGTGGTCCCTGTTGAAGATACAGATTAGTGAAGTGTGACTGACCATTAATTGAAAATAACAATGGTTGGCGGAAGATTTGAAATTATTTACGTAGTTGATTTTGCGTCAGCAAATATATTTCTCTATCCACTCGTTTCTTTCTTCCTCTATTAGGCCAATTGTTTATCTCTTATAGCCATATATATTGAAAATTGTCTGTCTATCCATTGTTTAGACAAATGCGTGAAGTGGGACACCGTCTCCGCATCCCGCTGTACGTATTCGGACCGGAAGCGGACATGACCTCCATAGTGGGTCTAGCTTTGGGCCATTCCCCCATTCCACAGGAACATCGTTTGGACTACGCTCCTAAGCAACTGCCGAAGCCGCAGACACCGGTGAGTTGTTGATTAAAATTGTTTTTTTTTACAATTTTGGCTTACAATAATAAGTAAGTATTGTTTATAAAAATTTTATTGCTTTCTGACTGAAATATCAATATAACCTAATATATAAAATTCCCGTGTTACGGTGTGCATATTATCGAACTACTCTGAAACGGCTCGACCGATTTTCGTGAAATTTTATATGCATATTCAGTAGGTCTGAGAATTGGACAACATCTATTTTTCAGCCTCCTGAAGGTGGTCTGGTCAACCCTTAATGTTTTTTTTTGTTTGGACTATTTTTTTTTTGATGATACATCATACAAAAATACATGCAACCCTAAATTTTCACCCTTCTACCACCAACCCTTATTTTTCTATGGCGGTACGAAGTTCGCTGGGACAGCTAGTATCAATATAAGTAACAATTTATACTTATCGATGAAAACAAATTCTTCCTTTAGAAAGAACCCCAAGTACGATCTATAACAGCTCCGTAAGCGTATGGTATCGTCAAAGTTTCTATGGAAACTAAGCAGCACCTCTACCGGACGAAAGAACAAACTGGCTCCTTCCATACAAAATTTGACGTTGACGATACTATTAAAGAGCTGTCAAAGTTCGTACTCGAGCCTCTTTCTAAAGGAAGAAGTTGTTTTCATGATAAGTATAAAATTTATTATTTATAACTAAAATTTGAGTCAAAGAGCGACAAATATTTTATTCGTGCTTGGATCTCAGATTTCATACTTAACTTTTCACACAAATAATTACAACATGAGAAATATTTGCTATACTCTCTCACTGAAGGTTCGCGATCAAACTAAACAGGGGTTAGGAGGCTAGATACGGGAATCATTACATCTTAGCCTTTTCCTTCATCATTTTTTTTTCTTTCTCCAGCCAAAGCCAAAACTGGACATCCCCGAGCTGACCCACAAACTCCTGGACCTGGTTTGCTCAGAAGCCCCCACCAGATTCGATCTTGGACAGCAGATCAACTCTAAACCCTTGTTCAGTGATCGCACCAAAGCTATCATATGGGGCATGCAGAACCGAGCGATACAGGTAAGAATAATAATAAGTATTTATTTAAAGAAAATATAAATAGAAAAAAATCCACGCCTACCAGGCAGCAGAATGGCTAAAAGAATTTCGATGCGATAGCGAAGGGTGCGGGTTCGAGTCCCGTCTGCTGCCTGGTTCGCGTGGATTGAAAATTGCGTATGAAAATTGCATAATTCGAGATTTGGATCTCGACGATTTCCTCCTCGAAAATTAAATATATGTAAAAGAAATTTTACACAAAGAATGATAAGTTGTTATACTATGCCTCTATGTTTTGATTCTTTGGAAATGCTTATTAAATCCACACTAGACGTCTTTAGTGGTGGTAAAAGTTTGATAATTTTTGGCGTTTTTTGAGAGCTTCTAGTTTCTTTGAAACACAAGTTATCGGAAAGAGGAAGTTTAAGGAGCATAGAATGAGTTAAATTATATTTTATGTATGAAAATCAATTCTTAATCAATTTCTTACATCAAGAAGGAATCAGTCGAGAACGATTGTATGGAAAAAGAATTGCCCACCTCGCCTCTTAAGCACAAAACCATCTAGTACAAGTGATGCAAGGGGCGGCCTTATCGCTAAAAGCAATCTCTTCCACGATTTAAACATTCTGAAATAATGCTTAAAAAAAATAGTGTTCACGGACCACACACACATCGGAAGTAAAACTTCTTTTCTCAAATAACCTAACATAGGCGACAATATATATGTATATATTGTCGCGTGTGACACTCGTGTCACCCGTAGCGTTACAGCCTTCGCCAAGTTACCATCCAACTTTTATGTTCGTCAGGACGAGCTGCGCACGCCACACACATATATATACGAGGCCATGAGAACCATAGTGGCCTAACTCATTTTTTTACAATATTGATTTTATGATTTTTTCCAGTTCAAATTGATAATTTTGATAGAACCAGAGTGGTCTAATAGTGATAACGAATATTCACTAGATAGCAGTATCATCACTGTTACGGTTGTTAGTGTTGACCTAAATTTGAGGTGCCATACTGGCCTAAGTAAGGTAGGCAGCTATGGTTAAAAATCGAGTTAGGCCACTATATTTCTCATGGCCTCATACAGTAGAACCCGTTTAATACGATCACGCTTAATACGATTTCTCGCATAATACGCCATTTTGCGTCAGTCCCTGCAACTTGAGACATGTTTCCATACATTTGTTAACGCTTAATACGATTCGTCATCCCGTTTAATACGCCTAAATCGCCAACTCGTACCACACATATTACCTCTTGCAGCAGCATAAAATTCAATGAGAATGTGAATAACACCCAAGAAGATGCCTGACAAGATAACTGATAATGATTAAGTAGAAGATGAGTCAACTCCAATTTTGTCTTCTTTGAATCAAAGCGAAAACGCACTGTAAAAGTTAATTATGTTGAAAATCTTGTATTTGAATCCAGCCTCAAAATCTTTTTGACAAAGCAAAATAAGTGATTAATTTAAATAACGTAATAATAAATAATATTACACTACAATTTTTTAATTACATACATAAATCTTAAATATTGTACATACAAATTCCAGATTTTCCTATCCCGCATAGTACGCTTTCCCGCTTAAGACGCGTTTTTGGTTGAGACCCTGTGAAATCGTCTTAAACGGGTTTTACTGTATATATATATAGTCGTGTGACACTCGTGACGCATTTCCGTTTCATCTTCTCCTTATGACTTTTCCATTTACACCCCGTCCGAATTCAAAGAGGATAATAAAAACAGGAACAAATAATGATCTTAATGATAATGTTCGTTTCCAACAACTGATTTGACTATTTTGTCTTTTTCTCAGGGAATGTTGGACTTTGACTATATATGCCGTCGCGCGGAACCGTCCGTGGTGGCCATAGTCTACCCGTTCACCGCTGACCATAAACAGAAGTACTACTTCGGCAACAAGGAGGTGTTCATACCCGGTGAGTGATTACAAAAGTGAAGCAACCTTCGCAATGGTCGGTTTTGGGATGGGTGACTGGACATTTGTGGGTTATATTTATTGACAGTGTGTGTGTTATTGTTACACTCTTTTATGAATAAATAAATATTTCCAACACTCACACCAATTAGCCTAGCCCCAAAGTAAACACTGTAGGCTTGTGTTATGGTATACATGGGAATACATATATAAATATATTTATATAGAAATACATATTAAACATCCATGACTGAAGTACAAAATCTCCTATTCATCACACAAACATCTGCCCCCACCGGGATTCGAACGCGGGACCTCTCGAGTAGGCGACTCCTTAAAAACCGGCGTACTAATAGCTATAAATAATATAATATTGTTATAGTTATTAACGGGATTGTTACCATGTACCTTGTTCTTTATGAGTCTCCGATATTTCGGCACTGTTGCAAGCGCCATGATCAACCAAACACAAGAATTTCAATCGTGTGGATGGGTTTGAATTGTCAAATGTCTGGAATCCAGTGGTTCGTATGTGTAAAAACCGCAAAAATTATTTGATTTATTATTTATGTATATTGTATATTTGTAAAGCGTATTAAATTAAATTTTATCATATTAAAATTATTTAACATATAAATTACATTAAAAGTCAGGTATACTAGAGCATTGCAAATTTTAAGTCAGACGTGAATAAAAAAACAGTTTATTTACTCATATTTTATTTTTGCTGGTTTCGTCGTATAGTATATAAGCAGTTTGTTTACTCATAATTATATAATTTACTCTTTTCCTCGCACAGTGTTCTCGGATATGGACGTGGCCATGCGCAAACACCAGGAGGCCAGCGTTCTTGTGAACTTTGCATCGCTTCGATCGGCTTACGACAGCACTATGCAGGTATGTTTCATTAAATAGACAATTGATTTATTAAAGTTACAATATTCTTGATTTAAAAAATAATTTTAATGATAAGCAACTTTGGGGCCGTTCAAGTATTAAGTAAGCACTATAGGGGGGTCTTTGCTTTGCTTATTTTTGATGACACGGGAGGGGGGGGGGGGGGGGGGTCGAGATAGTTCTTACGTCAAGTGCCATGGACTGAAGACTATTATTTGTAATTAATGTATATACCAAAAATTCGAAAGAAGTTTGTTTTATTCGTAATAGCACTAAATAAGATGATAATATTTGCACATTACTCTATGTTGAATACTGTGTCAATAAAGTTTGTTTAAATGAATACTATGTGCGTTAAAGTCCTCTATTTTAAGCCTTTTAAGTACTGCTGCTCATGAAGCTCATGAATCAATAAAAAAACAGAATACATTATAGAATAAAATACCATAAATAATAAGAAATAAGATACCAATGTTTAAGTAAGCATGGAGGAGAGGGTAAATAATTGTAATAAATCTGCTTACGTAATACTTGAACGGCCCATTTCACAATATCTGGGGGCCATTCGCCTAACGGAAATGCTTAGGAAAACGCTAACGCTTTCGATTTTATTTTGTTATTTCTGACCGCCGAAGGTTTTCTAATACCTCACGCTCATTTTTTTTAATATTGTTATTACCAATGCAAAAGAAAAAAAAGAGCGCGAGGCATTTGAAAACCTCAGGCGGCTAGAAATAACAAAATGAAATCGTAAGCTATAGCGTTTTCCAAAGCATTTCCGTTAGGCGAATGGCCCCCTGGTCTACATACCAATCTACTTACCAATTGGCCTAGCCCCAAAATACTGTAAGGATTGTGTTATTGAATGCTGAGGTAACGGATACAATACATATACGAATACGTATAAAAGTATATTTGAGGCCATGAGAACCATAGTGGCCTAACTCTTTTTTTACAATATTGGGTTTATGATTTTTTCCAGTTCAAATTGATCCTTTTGATAGAACCAGTGTGGTCTAAAAGTGATACAACGAATATTCACTAGATGGCAGCATAATTACTGTTACGGTTCTTAGACTGTGATCGAAATTTTAGGTACCATACTGGCCTAAGTAAAGGACACTATGGTTAAAAATGAGTTAGGCCACTATGGTCCTCATTGCCTCATTTCACCTAGTCTATATATATAAAAATGAAAACCGTTTTCCGTTGTCACGACATAACATGAAAACGGCTTGACCGATTTGGCTGATTTTTTTTAGAATATTCCTTGAAGTACGAGGATGGTTCTTACGAAGAGAAAAATTAAAAAAAATGCCTGAAAATGTCAAAAAACAAACCTTTTCTTTACTCCCATACAAACGATTCGTAATAATACTTAAAAGTCAATTTGAACTTTAATACCATACCATAAATTTCAAATGTTAGTGGAGAGATTCTGGGAAGGCAAAACAATTGAGCGACGTGATGTCAATAGAAGTTTGGAAAAGATAAGAACGGGCTGAGACTTTGCATGCAGGTATAAGAATAATCATAGATGAATGTCATTGTGTATAAAACAAGCCTGAGAACAAAAACTGTAGTCTACGCTTCAGCTCTACACAGAAGCGAAGCGAGGGCGGGCCGCTAGTAATATATAAATAAACTCACGACTTAGCAACAAATGCTTTCATCTCTCTTTAAAATCTCTTCGGTGGTGTCGTGTGAGGCGGGTCGTTACGTTCCCTAAAATATGGTTAAGCGAAGCGATGGCTGGTTCATGCGTCATGCTCGTGAACGCCAGCGAAAATTAGTCTGCCCTAAATACTGCTATTATATTGCTATTGAAGATGTTAATGTCTAGTTACACCTAATATAAATAACAATATTTGTATTTATACTGTACACAGCAATCAAAATGCAGGTGAACAATTAATGGATATTTCACGTTATGTACTGAAAGGTGACTTTTAAATCGACTCTGAAGTCATTTTTCAAGTTGACGCCTCTGTAAATAATAAAATAGGGAGAAAAAACAGCTTTTGCTGAGTTTCCTGCCGGTTCTTCTCTGTACGAGGTCTCCCGACTAAATTTAGGAACCGATGGCGTAGCATCTAGACATTAATGAGTGCTTGTAACAGCCTAAACTGAAAAAATGATTTTGATTATGACATTAATAGGCTGATGATGTTGATTATCGTTTATTTATCTTATAATTTGTGTCCGCAGGCGATGCAGCATCCTCAGATCAACACAGTCGTCATCATCGCCGAAGGTATCCCGGAGAACATGACCAGGAAGATCATCAAAGTGGCTGACGCGAGAGGGGTGAGATTCCTTAACATTACTAGAAAACCCAACTGTACCCTCAGCACGTATACTTAGCACGAACCAATATCGAATTCGAATAGGCTGCGAGTGCGAAATGTCAATGTCAAATTTTGTATGGAAACTTGAACAGCAACGCCACAACGGACGTAAAGAGAACTAAAAATCAGTACCCTTAGCACGAACCGATATCGAATTCGAATAGTCTGCGAGTGCGAAATGTCAATGTCAAATTTTGTATGGAAACTTGAACAGCAGCGCCGCAACGGACGCAATGAAAACTTATAATCAGTACACCAGGACATATATCTAGATCGAATTCAACTATTCCATTTCGACAATGGTTAGTGCTAAGGATACAGAATTTTATAGACATTTTCGCGCAGATTCAAACCGAATTTATTCATGACTTGTGCAGTTGAATAATACTGCAGTTGAATAGTACATTGGTTGTTCTGACAAGTAACAATAGTAGAACAGAATCAATAGTGATATACACTTCGACAAACTTCTAGAGCGTCAACGGAATCGGCGCAGTAGCAATTTTACGTACAAAAACCAATGATATTAAATACCCTAGATACACCACACGAACAAAATCGTGCCTGAAACCTGTCCAAAAGGTACATTGAACGATCCACGGAGCTACGTAAGATGATCGCGTATTCAAAATCAATATAAGGCATTATTTAAATATTGAAAGTAACCTTTAATACATACTGTATAAGGTCTTAAATAAAACGCATGCGTCAAGGACTTCTGACAGTTCGAAATGTAAGCTCGTAAAGTTTTACAACTTATTGCTATATGCGGAAGAATTTAGACCTTAGTTCTTTGACTCTACGCACAATTCTGAACGGGCTGTTTGCAATACAGCAGGCGCGGACCGCGAGGAAAAGAGACGGCTATATGGCGACGCATAACCGACCATGCATTTGAATATCACAAATATTTTATATTAAATCAGTTTATAGCAAGTATTAGATCAAAATTTACTTCAAATGCGTTAAATTAACAAACATTGTCTTGATACCTGTCGAAAAAACGTCACTTTTCGTACTCTAGTATTATTTTCGCAATTTTTCACAGAGCTCTGTGGCATCTTATTTATTTATTTATTTATTTAAACTTTATTGCAAAATTACAAAGCAAATGGCGGACATAATGCCATAAGGCATTCTCTACCAGTCGACCAGTAAGAGCGTGAGAAAAAATCTAATATGACGGGGCGCAATAAAGACAAATTTAAGATAAACCAATGATACAAATACTCTTAACAGAATACATACATATTATACACACACACACATATATATATATATATATATATATATATATATATATATATATATATATATATATATACATATACACACATACATACACACACACATATTATACAATACATACATAAATACATGGTTTTGTCAGTCAAATATGAGAACGCTGTTTAATGCTATTGAGATAGTGCTCACGAACCAATCCCTTAAATGCAATTTTGTTAGGAGCTTTACGTATATTGGGGGGTAAGTCATTCCAGAGTCGTACAGCCGTGACAGTGAAAGAGTGGGAGACGAAGCCAGAAGAATGGACGGGAGTATGCAGAAGGAGATTGTCAGTTGAACGGAGAACACGGTCATGAGAATCACTCAGAAACCTAAATCTGCTTTTTAGGTAAACTGGTGTATGTGGATCGAACAGAAGATTAAAAAGGGCACAAACAACTCTGAGGTTCCTACGCTCACGAATAGGAAGCCACTTGAGCTGATGACGAAAATGTGAAATATGGTCGTATTTACGTAAGCCATATATGAAGCGGATGCAGTTATTGAGAAGTCGATCCAACTTATTCAAAAGATTTTCATTTATATCAGTATAACATACGTCGGCGTAATCGATAATAGGCAGAATGAGAGATTGAACAAGGACAATCTTGGTACGAGTGGGCAGAAAGAACTTAAACCTGTAAAGAGATCTTAGAGAATTGGTCACCCTATGCGAGACGAAATCGACATGGTCTATCCAGGAAAGTTTTTCGTCGACCATCAAACCCAAGTCCTTTACTTGAGCCGAGAAAGGAATAGTAACACCGTCAAAGAATATTGAATTAACTTGAGTAAAGTCAATTTGCGACAGTAGACGTGAACTGCCAACAACGATCGCTTGACACTTGTTTGGATTGACTGAGATACCAAAATTAGCCGACCAGTCTCTGATCACACTGAGATTATGATTTAAATCTGCAACAGCCTCATTCAAATGAATGCTATCAGTGCTTGCATATAGTTGTAAATCATCAGCATACAGATGGCAAGAGGAAGTAAGAAGTTCTGTAAGAGTATTAATGAAAAGGGAAAAAAGTGAAGGAGAAAGAATACCGCCTTGTGGAACACCGGCAGTCAGCTCGCGCCAACTGGATAACTCCTGATCGAAGCGAACAGCCTGCCAGCGATCACGAAGATAAGAAGTGAACCACTTCTGCACTGAGGATGAGAACCCTAGTCGAGAAAGAACAGCTATGAGAATATCATGATCAACAGCATTAAAAGCGTTTGAAAAATCAATTAAAATTAACAGTGTAAGACGAGAATTTTCCTGGCCATCCCGGACATCTTCAAGGATCTTGGTGAGAGCAGTAGTAGTACTATGGCCGGGACGAAAACCAGATTGAAAAGGACAAAGAAGTTTATTAGTATTAATGTATGAAGTGAGTTGTTTGTGAACTGCTGCTTCAATGATCTTAGATAAAAATGGAAGAATAGAAATAGGCCTATATTGACTAAGGGAAACGGGACTATTATTTTTAGGTAGTGGCAGAGTTAAGGCCTTATGCCAGAGATCAGGAAAGGAACCAGATGTTAGTGAAAAATTAAAAATATGAGCCAGAACAGGAAGTACAGAATCTAGTATTGAGATGATCATAGTACGACTTATATTATCGCAGCCTACAGCGTTAGATTTTATGGATAGAATTATCTTTCGGATTTCATCCTCAGTTATGAAACTAAAACAGAATTGTGAAGTTGTTGAGGGAACCTTGGAAGAAAGAACAGAGATAGTGGAGAGTTTGACATTGGGAAGAACAGGTTTAATAGAAGTGAAGTGTTTATTTAGCTCATCTAACGGAAAAGAAGGCTTATGACGAAGTTGTGATTTTTCCAATGCCGAGAGTACGTAGAAACTTCCAGGTATCCGCAGGAGAAGATTCCAGGATATTCTTATGAATGTAATGGCGTTTAGCTTTTCTTACCATCTGATTGCAACGATTTCTGGCAGTCTTAAAAGCATCCCAGTGCGTATCAGTACGGCATCTTTTGTAAATGCGAAATGCTCTGTCGCGCTTTCGCATGGCCATACGCACACCAGGTGTAATCCAGGGCGCGGGGGGACGTCTTAATTTGACCTTTTTTAAAGGAGCATGCTTGTCAAACAATTTTAGGACCTTAGAGTTAAAGTAGGTGACCATGTCGTTGACCGAAAGCATTTCATGAATAGGAGACCAATCAAGTAAACACGCATCACGCTTAAGTTCTTCCGTGTCCATTCTCGCAAAGTTACGAATGGAAATAGTTTTTGGCTTCGATTTTGGAGGCTTCACATTATAAGCAATATAAATGAGATCATGTCTGGAGAAGCATGGGGCAGGGATTTGACCATATTTAACGACATGATCTGAGGAGGAGACAATAATGTGATCAATCCACGAATCGGATGTATTAAGATTATGATGTGAAGGATTAAGGTGTAAAAAAGAAAAGTTTGCCGACGTAATCAAAGAGCGAAGCTTTCGAGAAGAAGGTGAATTTATTAAAAGGTCAGTATTGAAGTCACCCATAATAACATGGTGACTATAATCAGTAGCAATGGAATCAATTAACGACTCAAGGTCAGAGAAGTAATCAATGGAAGGAGGGCAGTATACGACTCCGAGAATAATCTTAGTACCCCAAATATCAACTTCCAGGAGCAGATGCTCCATGCAGTCATGACGAGAGGAAGAAGAATATAAAACTTTCGCTGGTATGCGGCTCGACAAGTAAATAGCCACACCACCACCACCCTTACCGACGCGATCATTACGGAATAAGTGAAAACATGGTGGACAGTACAAGGAGGAGTTCAAACATGGCTTCAACCAGGTTTCAGATACAAGCACGGCGTGCACTGTATCCGTAGAGAAAGCATCGAGAAAGTCAGTAATATGACATGGTATGCTCTGTGCATTAATGTGACATGCTCTGAAACAACTGGCAAAACTGTTAATTTCACGTGTGAGCTCCTGTTTCAATGAGAGATCTAACGAGGAGTCAAGGGAGTGAAACGACGAGCTACTATCATGCAGCGAATGAAAATCATCTGTGTCTGACATAAATACTTAAATATATATAATAAATAATATAAAGTACAAAATATTACCTAATAACAAAAATAAATAAATTGAATAACCAATAACAAAAACTGCACACCTTACCAAGCAACTAGTATGAGATTACAAAAGCTTAAGCAGAATAATAATTATTAACAACAAAATCACGAGAGAAAAAAAAAACATTGAGCAACAATACAAACACAGAAACAGGAAGGCACATGTCTTGCCTTGTAAATGAACAAACAATAAAAATAGGTACATAAACATTGCTGCAAAATTATTATGAAAATGAAACGAAACATTAATTATACATATTACATACTAAGTCTATGAATAAAAAAAAGTATAAACTTGGCTGTATGAAATGAGGAGCTCATGCCTTCCAATTTCAAGAAAATTAAAACAAAACTAAAAATGTCACAACGTCTTGACATTGACAAATACGACTTCTTGTTTGTTTACATTAATAGCTATGAGTTTACAAATACCTTCGCAGTAAAAACCATTAATAATATAATAATATCTAATATCATACCAAGCACAACAAGCAGAATTACGAAAATAAGCAGCAAAATAACAACAGCAGCAACTTATATCTACATAAAAGTTGCGATGTCCCCATTATTATTTAGAAAATTGCTGTTACAAAGGCATAGCAAAGTCCAATGCACTACCAAATCTATTTGCAAGTTCAAAACAACAAAAGGGAAACAGAAAAGCAAGAAAGCTATTTGGTGGCTTTAGCTACCTTACCAGGCTTATTTGTTGCTTGAACCATGCGTCTGGACCTCACAGGAGCTGCTCTCGGATCAAGCTCAAGCTTTGATGTGATGTTTGTGCTTTCCTTGGTATCTTTATCCGGCTCAGCAGATGACTTGGGGTCGCTAGTGGTCTTTGGATGGCGATCGGCTAATAATCGAAGTTCCTCGAGTGTGCGCACTTGATGACGACTCCCATCAGGGGTTTTCAAGTAGATGTTACCCCCTGCAGTCCACACTTTTGTTACTCCAAAATGTTCCCGTGAGGCCTGAAACAGAGCTTGGCGACTTCTTGTTAAGTATTCCGAAACGACCAAGGAAGTGCCTTTAAGTTTAGTCTTGTACTTCCAAACCGCAGCACGAACATCCAAATCCACAAAACGGACTACAACAGGCCTTGCACGCCTATTTGATACATATCCCAGTCTGAAGCAAGCTTTAATGGAAGAAGCAGATATTTCAGTGAGACCGAGGTGTTTCTGTAATAATGTAGCAATGACAGATGCTAAATCCTTGACTTTGTAACGGTCTGCGCGCGACTGTAAACCAAGAAGTTCTTGAGTGGAGTTCAAACACTTCTTGATTGGGACACATTTTGAGCGCTCGTGGTGTATCTAGGGTATATAATATCATTGACAAAAACATATACTGCGCAAGTTTAATACTAATATTATAATAATTACCATAACTTATGGGTAATTATATAATTTATAATAACTTTCTAGCTACAGTCTAGATATAATGGATATTCTTTGAAAAATAAACGAAAATAAAAATGTTTTATAAACGACTTAAAGTCAGCTAATCTTAAAACCGTTTCTGATCACTTATCAAGAATGGATTTCATTTATATTTTTCTATTTAAAAGACTTTTAATAGTAAATTCTCTGCAAAATTATATTAATTTTAATACAGATGCTAACGCTTAGTAGGTACTTTATTTTTAACACTGCTAAGTCTAGCTTTAAATTCTAATGAATTTTAATGAAATGATTGTATTGCTTCCATAAGGTAAACATCATCGGTCCGGCCACGGTCGGTGGAATCAAACCAGGTTGCTTCAAGATCGGCAACACTGCGGGAATGATCGACAATATTGTGGATAGCAAACTCTACAGGCCTGGCAGGTAAAGATTGTACATTATTTATACATCTCTAGTGGACACTTAGTAACATATTCGTAGGTATTTAGCTATAGACTCGTACTTATATAGTATACTAGCTGACCCAGCGAACTTCGCACCGCCATAAAAATAGGGGCTGGTGGTAGAAGGGTGAAAATTTAGAGTTGTATGTATGTTTTAATGCCCCATTATAAAAAAAGTCCAAAAAATAAAAATAAATGTTAGACTCGTCGACTGATGTTTTTTACATGAATAATTTAAAGAAATAAACAAAATTTGAAGTGAAACTTCTTTAGGCACGCTTGATTTGGGGGGTAAACTGGCAAATATGTTACGGTTTCACGTTACGATTAGTGTCATCGGTGACTCATCGGTATACAATGAACAAAACCCTTCACAAAATACATGAATCTAATGCTTGGTGGGTGATAACGGACCCAGCGCGGAGTGGTGGGTGATAACGCACTCAGCGCGGATTGGTGAGTGATAATGGACCCAGTGCGGATTGGTGGGTGATAACGCACTCAGCGCGGATTGGTGGGTGATAATGGACCCAGTGCGGATTGGTGGGTGATAATGAACCGAGCGCGGATTGGAGGGTGATAACAAATCTTTAGGTTAAGTTTCTGATTTTCAGATCATTGGAGCTAAAGAAGTTTCACTTCAGTCGTGTGGTCATAAGCACACTCGCTTTTTTTTATATTTCATTTAAATTTTTCCTTTTCCACAGTGTGGCTTACGTGTCCCGTTCTGGCGGTATGAGCAACGAGCTTAACAATATATTGGCGAAACACGCGGACGGCGTGTGTGAAGGAGTAGCCATAGGGGGAGATCGCTACCCTGGAACTACCTTCATAGACCATCTGTTGAGGTGAGAATTATGTCATCATCATCATATTGGTGAAACATGCGGACGGCGTGTGTGAAAGAGTAGCTATAGGGGGAGATCGCTACCCTGTAACAACCTTCATAGACCATCTGTTGAGATGAGAATTATGTCATTATCATCATATTGGCGAAACACGCGGACGGCGTATGTGAAGGAGTAGCTATAGGGGGAGATCGCTACCCTGCAACTACCTTCATTGACCATCTGTTGAAGTGAGAATTATGTCATCATCATCATATTGGCGAAACACGCGGACGGATTTAGGTTATCGATCAATCATAGCCAAAGCTCAATAAATGAAAAAAATATCAACCAATATTAATCGTTTGTTTACAAATGTTTGATTTTTATTCTAGAATTAGTTGAGTTCTAAAAAAGGGTTCCAAGATTTTATTGCAAACCGTACTTTTCAAGCGACATTTGCCTTTGGCTTTCCTGTTCTTATTTGAATCGCACTATAAATCTGTTTAGTGGCTATTGAGTTTATTTGTTACAAATGGCAGTATAGATTTGAGATGCAAACAGATTATTTTATTGTCTTATCTCCTTTTTTTGTGCAGATTCGAAGCTGATCCCAACGTCAAAATGCTGGTATTGCTCGGTGAAGTGGGAGGTGTAGAAGAATACCATGTGTGCCGAGCGATCAGAGACGGTCTCATCAAGAAACCTATGGTGGCCTGGTGTATTGGAACCTGTTCAGGTAATATATTCATCATCATCATTATGATAAATAAGATAATAATTAAATGATCCTCAAAGATAATAGTGAATGATCACCTGAAAATACATTAGGTAACCCATGGAGGTTAGAGAGAAGGAGAACGATTGCTGTAGAAAATAAGTGTCCCAGAAATATGGACAAAATAAGTGAGGCGCTGCGATCGCTAAGTTGTCTCACTAAAGGCGGGCCAATTTGAAATGACCAATGCCGCTAAGAAAATCTGTACATTATTCAACTAACTTCATCTACTTGTACTCATAAACAGCTAACTTCACAGATACTACTTATCGACGGCAGCGCCGCTGGTGGCTGAAAAATGAACTATAAATTGTACAAATTTTCAGGGTCAGGCGGGCTAATGCTTAAGTACGTAGCGATATTTCTCCTTCTCTCTAACCTCCATGAGGTGACCTTAAGAGCGGACGCGAGCTGAGAGACATTTGAGAAATAGATATTTGAATGAACTATTGCTGTCGCGTATTGACAATTACTCTGCAATAAGGACAACTCTAGCTTACGCTGAAAATTGGGTATAAAAAATTTTAGGATTGACATTAGAAGCTTTCCTCCTCTATTTGCAGATTAATTTATTGAAATTATATTTCATAGTATTGTATTCATAACGGTAATAAAATTATTAATAATTCAAAATGGGAATGAATATGATTCTCTCGTTCGCTTGAATGTTTAAGAGTAAGTATAATTAATAGGTAATACATAATAGGAATTGTATTTATTTATTATTATTTTTTTACTTGATAAAATGACTTATTGTAGTTTTTACTTGATAGAATGAATGACTATACTATTGCATTGGGGTACTGATCTGTAATAATAATGTGATGTGCTTGATAATTAGATAAATTATATTAAAATATTGACCTTTCCTTAGACATGTTCACGTCGGAAGTACAGTTCGGTCATGCGGGCTCTCTCGCCGGCTCCGCCCTAGAAAAGGCGGCGGCGAAGAACGCCGGGCTCAAAGCTTATGGTGTGGCTGTACCGAACTCATTTGATAGTCTGGGATCTGCCGTTAAAGAGGTAATTTTATTGTGTTAATAAATATTTTTTTTTACTATCATTCAACGATATAAATACTTTAGATACACCAACAGGAACAAAAGCGTGACCGAAACCTGTCCAAAAGGTACATTCGACGATCCACGCAGCTCCTTAAGATGATCGCGTAGTCAAAAACAATATAAGGCATTACATTTAAAGTCACCTTTAATGCATGCTGTATAAGGTCCTAATTAAAACGCATGCGTCAAAGGGTTATGACAGTTCGAAATGCAAGCTCATAAAAATTTACGACTTATTGCTATATGCGGAAGAATATAGACCTTATTTCTTTGACTCTTACGTTATTCTGAATGCGCTGTTAGCAATATTGCAAGTGCGGACCGCGAGGAAAAAAGACGGCTATATTCCCGATCACGCATTTGAATATCACAAATATTTTCTATTAAATCAGTTTATAGTAAATATTAGAACAAAATTTGCTTCAAATGCGTTAAATTAACAAACATTGATTAGATACCTGTCTGAAACGACACTTTACATACTAAAAGTATTTATTTTGCATTTTTTCACGAAACTCTGCGGCAACTTGACTTTTCAATGGTCCGCGCGTGACTGAAAACCAAGAAGTGCTTGAGTGGTGTTTAAGCACTTCTTGATTGGGACATATTTTGAGCGCACGTGGTGTTTCTAGGGTATTTAATATTGTTGCTATCATTATATTGAAACTGTACTCACTTAAAATTATTTTTGGAAATTCTATGCGTTCTAAGCTAGATTCTGATTTAAGTTTTTTCTCACATAGTCTTCATAAATTAATATTATTAAAAATAAATGTTTTTTTTTCTGAATCTTAGTAAATATTTTAATAAAAATACTGATGTTTTTTCTCACTTAATCTTAGTTATAAGTTTTATTAAGTAAAACCTTTTTTTGCTCACTCTACCTATTTGGTTTGAATTGACAGCTATGACATCAAAATATGGCGCCCAGTAGGTCCTTAGTTGAATCGCATTATAAGAGCACGCGTTCAGGCTTTTGTTATAGGATACTAGAGTTTCTTCAGAGTTCACAAACCGAAATAATTATTTTTAAAATACAATATGTTGTATGTTCACAGGTGTACCAGAAGCTAGTGAAGGCAGGTCGCATCATCGTGAAGGAAGAAGTGGAACCACCCAAAGTTCCGATGGACTACGACTGGGCGAGGGTGAGTCCAGTGTTATTAACTCTCATTGTGTAACGTTTAAAGCTTAATTAAAATAATAATAAATAATCATTTTATGTCCAATAACTTGTTACATCATGAACACATTAATTAATTAAATTCTACAGAATTTCAAACATTCTTAAAAAAATATTAACCCCCCTCCCTTATTATTTTTTTAGATATTGATAAAATACAGGTATAAAGTAGGTTGCATTTTATTTTTGACTGACATAAAAATAATGAAAGAATTGAACGGAAATACACGTGATATATGACAACCCCAAAATTTGTTATATTTCGTGATTTTTTATGGAGTTTGTTCGATTTAATCACCATTTTACAGTGACTCATTGAACTATTTATTGAAAAAAACTTATTAGTACCAAACAATAGAGTTATTCTAGGAATTTGATAAGAACAATTGATTATTTTACATTTATTTAAAAAGTAACTTTATCCTGAAGTTTCGACTACCCTTCGGCTACTCTCTTTCTCCGAAACGAACTTGCTATAACGAAGTTTAAACGAAAATTAATTTCGTGAATTTATGGTTATACTTAATTTGAACGATAAACTATCAACTTTGAAAATCTACACCTCAATCTATATTCTGACGACGAATATTATTATAGTTAAAAGTGAACCAGAAACAGTAAGAAAAGTGCGAAGTTTTGATCGAAATTTTGTTTTGTCCTTGAATTAGAGTAAGCCTCTAGGTTACACCGGCGACTGATGCATTTTTGTTACGTTTTCGCTGCGATGATGATGAATCTTGTTTCATCATCAAAGTTTCAAAGTGTATACTCTAGTCCGCCTTTTGGTATAAGCCGTCTAATCTTTAAAGTTTTTGAAGTAAAACTTCTTTAGGCACGCAGCACGCTTGACTTGGGGGTTAAACTGGGGAATGCGTTACGTGTTACGATTAGTGACACCGGTGACTCATCGGTAAACAATGAACAATTTAGGCACGCTTGACTTGGGGGGTAAACTGGCGAATGCGTTACGAGTCACGATTAGTGTCACCGGTGACTCATCGGTAAACAATTAACAATTTAGGCACGCTTGACTTGGGGGGTAAACTGACGAATGCAATACGAGTTACGCGTCACGAAAAGTGTCACCAGTCACATATATATATATATATATATATATACATACAGATGGAGCTAAAGAAGTTTCACTTCACTCGTGTGGTCATAAGCAGACTCGATTTTTTTATTTTCTTCTGAAATTGATTTGGAATGTTTTTTTGTGTTCAGAAACTGGGTCTAATCCGCAAACCGGCCGCGTTCATAAGCACCATATGCGACGAGCGAGGCCAGGAGCTGAGCTACTGCGGCGTGCCCATCACTCAAGTGCTGGAGAGGCAGCTGGGGGTCGGCGGAACTATCAGCTTGTTGTGGTGAGATGTTATAACGATAATAATAAACACATTTTACTTAGAATATGCCGTAAAATGTTGCCAAAACCGAGTTAGAAACAACAGTATTAATAGCTATCAGTCTAGTGCTGGCGAGGCAGCTGGGAATCGGTTAACTATCAGTTTGTTGTGGTGAGAGGTTATAACGACAATAATGAACAGGCTTGACTTGGAAATGCCGTAAAATGTTCCCAAAATCGGCTTAAACCCAGTCAAAAATAACAGTTTTAATAGCAATCACTCAAGTGCTGGAGAGGCAGCTGGGGATCGGGCAATTATCAGTTTGTTGTGGTGAGATGTTAAAACGATAATAATGAACACGTTTGACTTGGAAATGCCGTAAAATGTTTCCAAAACCAGCTAAAACCCAGTCAAAAACAACAATTTTAATAGCTGATGGGTTTAGGGTACATAATAATTAAAAAATAAAAATAAAACGATGTATTCTTTCAGTAAAATATGATATATATCTTCAATATTTAATGTACTTTCCATTCCGTGTGGCAAATCCGTGGGACGCCCTGTACCCTTAATACGAGTTTTACAGTTACGAAAACTATGATAGTTTTCGTGAGCTCGTATTCGTACTAAGGGTACTGATTTTATTGTTTTCGTTTCAATACAAATAAACAGTGTTTAAATTCTTTCATTAAATCGTTTGCGTCTTCTTAAATTTTAAGAATATTTGGTTACTTTTCACCATAATGGACATTGAAACATAATTTACAATTACGAAAACTATGATAGTTTTCGTGAGCTCCAACTCGTACTAAGGGTACTGTATTCAATGGAATTAAAATATTTTTCTTTACACAGGTTCCAACGCGAGCTCCCCGAATGGGCCTGCAAGTTCTTCGAACTAGTCCTCATAGTGACTGCTGACCACGGGCCCGCCGTTTCCGGGGCCCACAACACCATGGTCACGGCAAGAGCCGGGAAGGACCTCATATCCAGTGTGGTCAGCGGACTGCTTACAATCGTGAGTCCTCATAATATCTACAGTTACATTTGCTTAAACGCCACTTTAGTAACTCAGAGGTTCAGTTTTTTTTTTCACAAAAACAATCATAACTCACTGTAAAATGTGAAGTAAATGCCCATGAAAATTAAAACATATTCAAAAAACATTATTTTCTATATATACTTCTATTCAAAAGTTACTTATTACCTTTAAGAATTAGACGACAAATTGTAAGTAATTGTAAAAATACACAAAAAAAAAATATAAAGTGTACATCTTTTACGATTAAATTTAATAATTATAACCTCAAAATCTAATACACTCTGTAGTAGGCCACGGTTCCTCAAGTTGTCGGTATCTCAACAAATGCCTAATTAGAGTTTATGAATGATTCCGAACACAACTAGCATTTTCTCATTGCTGTGCGTTCTAGGGCATTCAATGTATGGGGAACGAGCAATGTCCTTTTATTAAAAGCGCTCCAGCTGTTTAGACATGAAGAAGTAACAAACATACGCACTAACAAACGTTTGCCTTCATAATATTAGTGTGATTAATGGCTGTTAACAAGAGCACGCTAGAAAGTAATATCTAATACATTAGAAGTATTTGGTCACTTTTAAACTTATTTTATTTCTACGAAAATTAACAGCCCTGTATGAACAGGGCTAACTTCATTTTAGTCGGGCTTAAGTGTCGCCGCACCCTGGCCACCGACCACAACCACAAAACGCCGCCACCGGCATATTTCTTGTAGTTTTTATACATTTTATATGGACTCGCCACACACGGTACGCCGGTGACCGCCACACGCTACAAATCGTAGTTGCTCGCTTCTTGTGGCCCGCACCGGCCACTTAATGCGTCGATACAAAACGCCGCCACACGTCACTCGCGCAATTCCCCACCCCTCTCCCTTACCTTAGTCGGCCGCTGTCGCGCGCTTCAGAGCCACTTTAGTAGCCGCTTCTAGCTTCTCGTGGCGGCGTTTGTGGCTGTGGCGTGTGGTCCGTGTGCGGCGACACTAAGTTTGCCAGCGATTTAACATAAACATTTTTGTTCCCAGGGCGACAGATTCGGCGGAGCTTTGGACAGGGCGGCTGCAGACTTCTGCGCGGCTTACGACAAAGGGCAGCATCCTCAGGAGTTCGTCAACGAGAAGAGGGCTAAGGGAGAACTCATCATGGGCATTGGACATAGGTACGAGCCGATTTTATTTATATAAGAATACTGGCTGACCCAGCAAACTTTATACCGCCATAAAAATATGGGCAGGTGGTAAAAGAGAAAATTTAAGGTTGTATGTATTTTTAAACCACATCATAAAAAAAATATTGTCCAAAATAAATTTTAGGGGTGTGTAACGTAGTGTTCTATCAATTTCCTGGGATAACAATCCTCCTAACCACTTAAGTATGTGAAAAATAGATAGTAGCCGATTCTCAGACTCACGGAATATGCATATAAAATTTCATAAAAATCGGTCAGGTCGTTTCGGAGGAGTATGGTAACTAACATTGTGACATGAGAATTTTATGTATAAGATAAATCTTTTTTCGCATTTGGTTAAATAAAAAAATCCAAGATTTTATTAAAAGTTCTCAAAACCCTTCATTTGATGTCCAATGTGGGAGTGTAGGCCGTCCATGTGGATTTAATATGATATCATTTAGCTAAACACGCATCTAAATTTAACATGTAAGGATAACTGTTTTAGAATTCAGTTGCAAGATTTGAAACGTAAATTGTAAGTCAAGTAAAAGCTCTACATAAAAAAATAGTAACTCTTAAGATTTATAAATCAGTAGGAGTTTATTGTGTAAATAACGCAATGATAATAATATAGGTATATTCATTACTCAATTCTTCTCCACAGGGTGAAATCCATCAACAATCCAGATAGTCGAGTACGCGAACTGAAAGCTTTCGTCACAGCTCGTTGGCCAGCTTGGCCAGTCACCAGATACGCTTTAGACGTTGAAGCTATAACAACACGCAAGAAGCCGAACCTAATCTTAAACGTTGACGGTATTGTAGCGGCCGCAATGGTCGATTTATTCAGACACTGCTCTTTATTCACACAAGAAGAAGGAAATTCGTACATCAACATGGGATCAATAAACGCTCTATTTGTATTGGGCAGAACTATCGGTTTGGTCGGACATTATTTGGACCAAAAGAGGATGAAGCAGCCCCTATACCGCCACCCTTGGGACGATATCACTTACATGTCGCCATTGCCTTAAAAGTCGTCTGTTTTAAAACTTCCGATGGAATTTGTTCTTTGTTACGCTTGCAGGTGAGACCGTTTTCGCTTAAAATTCTTTAAAACTTTATATATATGAATGTAGGTCTTCAAATTGTTTCATTTAGAAATTTTGATTTTCACCAGTTTTGGTCACAAACGGTCTTGTTACAAAACTAAGACTAAAGTTAAACTTGGTTTAAAAGTAATGCTGCCACTTTTGTTTGCTAAAAAGATGACAGAGTTGAGGTTTATACCAAGACAAACTTTAGTCTGTGTTTTGGAATAAGTCAGTACAAGTTTGTATGTAAAGGTAGGTTTTTAATTGGATTAAAAAGCTATGATTTTAACGCTGATTGGTCACAAAAAGTTCTTATAACATTGGCGCCCAATCTCGCATTGCGATTGGATGAAATATTATTTGAGGTACCTAATTGTATAATAAATGGAATTATTTGTCGTGTATTATTGAACTATTCTATCGGAATTAGTGTGAATAGATATTGTAGTTATAAGATAGCAGTGTTGTAAGAGATAATTTTTGTTATTTTTTCTGTTATCCGATATTGTATTTTAACTGTTATAACTGTATAGATCGTTGACGGGGCGGAGACGTCATTACACATAATAAGTGAAACTGCTAACTTCAGGCAGTGTCTTGATTGCATTGAAGTTCGTATGATGTGAGCATTTCACTTGGCTATTATTCTTTGCTATTTGTTAACTTGGCATCAGTCTAACCTTATCATGCTTTGTAAGGAATGAAAATGACATACTGATATCAAGTTTACTAATAGCTTACACGAATAGCCAAGCGAAGGACCGGCATTAGAGTGATCGAATATTTTTCGTTAATAATGTAACGAATTTGTGTTAATAACTGTAAAAAATATATTTTAAAATATACACAAAACATTATAAACAGGAGTAATTTCCTATGAATATAACTTTTTTTTTTATTTATTATCTACATATAACACTGCTGTCTTATTTCAACTACTGGTGTGTTTGAAACGAGAGAAGAAAATTGCTATATTCACTAAAAATAAATTTTAATTACAAATTAAAAACACATTCATGGAAAAATGTATCTAACAGAATTGATTTTAAAGTCTAGATTTAAATGATTATTTCTGTTTATACGCTTGTATTAAGCTTGAGTAAATAGTTAGGAAAGTTTTTCATATCTTTCTTTCCTTTGAATTAGAGACTACACGATGGCATAATGTTGCTTATAGGTTACACACCCTTGGCGAATCTCTGAGTTTTCGAGGTTTGACTCCCGGTTGGATAAATTAAGATAACATCATTTTAAAGTGGTTGAGCTATTATAAACGCAAAAGGGTATATATATTATTTTGTGAAATCATACTTTTGCCCCATTTATGTTCCCACGACTGGGGCACCATTACCAAAGGCACCATAAACCACAATGCGGTGGGGATCGGTCGGTACTAATGAGTTAAGACACAGCCTATATCTAAGGCTAAAGTAGCTCTCCACGAAGGAGACTGAAATAAAAAAAAATGGCCGCCCATCCTCTGACTGGCCTTCATGCTAACAACTGCGATACAGAGTAAATCTTTGATAAAACGATATAATTCACATGTATAAATATTATCCGGGAATATCCACCTTAGTAACGCCCTTCAGAATATCCATATACGCAACAATATACTAACTCTTATTACTTTGCAATAAAAGCATCGTTCGCGTTACCTATTGTTCGTTTTAGTATCATTTCTTTAGCGAAATGCTGGTTATGCTACATTTGTCTATATTTCCGATAACATGGAAAAATGGAGCTTGTTAAGAAAATTGTAGTCAAACCCCCTTAATGATAATAAGCGATTAATATGTTTGAACCAGTCGCACAGTATTTTGTTTACTTCACTCAAATGAGATTTGTGATTCTATGAAAATAGACAAAACACTTCGTTACTTGTTCAGAGTTGTTCTAGTAAAAGGACATGAGAATATACATTTGAACCTGTTCTTCGTTTCTGTAATACTTCGCTTGCCATTCCTGAAGGTTCTGAATTGATTGATACTTGTATTTTTTGGGATAAGAAAGTTAAAACATTCAAATAAAGTTTACTATAACTGTTCAATATTTTCTATTTTATACATTAAAACTCATTAAAGGAGTACTTTCTTTTCAAAAAATTGTGACGCCATAATTGTGGACATTTTCTTCGATATTTTTCTTTTGCATTTTTTTTAAATAATTCGTTTTGGTATATTTGGTTTTTCTTGTCCACATAGTTTAAGGGCTAGTGTAAGTAGAATAATAATAAAATGAAAAAACATATAATATTTAATAATAAAATAATTTGCTTGTGTGTTGAGTGAATGGGCGCATTATAAAAAAAAAAGAAAATAAAGCCAAAAAAATTATACTTATTTAACATAATTAAGCAATACATGTGATGTCAAAATTAAGAGTTAAATATTATATAAGTAAGAGGTTAATCGGGCGAGGCTTATTTTATCTTTGCGAGGCATAAATTGTTAGAAAGAGATAGACATATAGAATGTTAGATGATAAGTAATATTGGGGTTAGATTAAGTTTTGGGTTTGTGACGTCACGTTCATACAACTGTCCAAAACAGCATCTATTAAGAAAAATAAAAAATCGAGGGAGTACAAATTAAAATGAGTTCTAACCAAAACAGCATAAGGTGCGGTTTTGCAGGCTTTCGAGAAAACGTACGCGATGCATTTCTACAGTCAATTCAGAATATATAATTTTTAAATAAACAAACAGTATAGGGTGAATCGAAGAACAGACTGTTTGATGTTCATATAGATGCTATTACATCTACTATGGCTCTGGCTACAATTCCATAAGCATTTTCATAAACAAGTTTATTTTCATAAACAAGTGCATTACCATGTTAGTATAACAACACCTTAAAGAATTGTTAAAAATATTTATACGATCATAAGATATTCTTATAATTATTCGTCTTGTCAAAGATTCTACTCGAATTAATACTTTTCCTGTTGGCAGTCTTTTTTTGTTTTTGATTACATACTAGCGTGCCCTGCGGTGTTATCCGCTGTTTATTAGGGATATTTTCCCGCAGTAAAACGTAGCCTATCTGTTAATCCAGGGTGTCAGCCAACTCTATACCAAATTTTATTAAAATCGCTCCAGCCGTTTAGACGTAAAGTAGTAACAAACATACACAGTCGCAAACTTTCGCCTTTATAATATTAGTGAGATTTCCATCTGAAACTACAAGCCTACATAATTTATCTGTTGTGTGTATCATTTCGATACTTTTTAAGAATTGCCATTAAAAAGACCTATATCGTAAAACCGTAATAAATGAAAGTTAAGCAACAACTACCGAAATGGCGTACCATTGTCAACCACCAGAAATAAAATTAATTCCGAGTTTAAAACACATTAAATTCTGCTGTCTACACCCGGTTAAACCAAGGGAGAAAGTTGGTCATTGTTAGCTAAAAGCCAACTCTAACACAATACCAATAAAAACTAAAATGCCCTAATACATAAATTTTCTTTCTTTAATGTATGACAAATCTCACTCGTTTCAGACACACTGTATTTATAAAATTATTATTTAACTTTTAGTTAGACCATTAAGCGGGATATATGTGAAAATGTTATGTATATTTTTTTTTATTGTTTAACGTGAAACTCATTTTTCTATGACACAAAGAAATTTCGTCGGAAAAGAGCTTTAGTACACGCGAATAAAGTTTCTTTTTCCTTAACATGACAACTTTTCATTTCGATTCAGTGATACGCTAAGCTCTAGAACAAAAAAAAACAAATTCTATATATTTTCTATACGGAGGGTTACACACATAGATGTATAAGAATAGAGTGGAGAAGGCGGGTCTAAAAGTGTCCGTCTAATAGAAAGAGAAAGAAGATGAGAGACGGCTAGCTATCTCTCTCTTATCGAAATAGTAAGATGCATACGGTTGCCAATGCGCATGCGCG